TATAGTTTCCTTTCCTTTTTTTTTTTTTTTTAAGATTTTATTTATTTGAGAGAGAGAGAGAGCAATCACAGGAGACAGGGGAAGGTAAGAGGGAGAAGCTGACTCCCGGCTGAGCAGGGACCCTAATGCCGGGATTGATCCTGGGACTCCAGGCCCATGACCTGAGCTGAAGGCAGATGCTTAAATGACTGAGCCACCCACATACCACTAGTTTCCTTTTCTTATAATGTTTTTATCTAGTTTTGGCATCAGGGTCATGCTGGCCTCATAGAATGAGTTGGGAAGTATTCTTTCCTCTTCAATTTTCTTAAAAACATTTGTAGAATTGACAGCTTTTACTTAAATGTTTAGTAATCTTAATCAGTGAGGCCATCAGGGCCTGTTGATTTTGTGGGAAGATTTCTAACAAAAAATTCAATTAATTTAATAGATGTAGGCTTATTAAATATATAGATCTGTTTAGGTCAGCTATTCCTTCTTGAGGGAGTTTTGGAAGTTTTTGTCCTATAAGGACTTTGTCCATTTCATCTAAGTTGTTAAATTCATTGGTATGATGTTGTTCACAAAATTGCATTATTGTCTTTAAATATCTGTAGGGTCTATAGTGATGTTACCACTCTCATTTTATTGGTAATTTATATCTTCTCTCTTTTTTCTGTATCAGCCTATCTAAAGTTTTATCAGCTTTATCTTCTCAAAGAATCAGCTTTTGGTTTCATTGATTTTGTCTCTCATTTTTCTTCTTTCAGTTTTCATTGATTTCCACTCTGATCTTCGTTTCCCTTCTTCTTCTTAGAGTGTAATTTGCTCCTCTTTTTCTAGGTTCTTAAGGGGAAAGATGAGGTGTTTGGCTTACAATTTTTCTTCTTTTTAACACAGGCATTTGTACTATAAATTTCCCCTTTATGTACTGCTTTTGTGACATTCTACAAATTTTGACATGTTGTGTTTTAATTTTTAAGTTCAAAATATTTTTACATTTTCTTTTGTTTATTTCTTTGACCCATGGTATATTAATCAGGATTCTCCCAAGAAACAGAACCAATAGGATGCATGTAAAAAAAAATATATATATATATATGTAAATATATATATTTATATATATATTTTTTATTATAGGAATTGGCTCATGCAATTATAGAAGTCAGGAAGTCGGGGCACCCGGGTGGCTCAGTGGGTTAAGCCTCTGCCTTCAGCTCAGGTCATGGTCTCAGGGTCCTGGGTTCAAGTCCCGCATCGGGCTCTCTGCTCAGCAGGGAACCTGCTTCCCCCTTTCTCTCTGCCTGCCTTTCTGCCTACTTGTGATCTCTCTCTCTCTGTCAAAGAAATAAATAAAATCTTAAAACAAAAAAAAGAAGTCAGGAAGTCCCACAATCCAGTGTTTGCAAGCTGGAAAAGCAAGAAGGCCAATGGTATAATTTATTCTGAGGCTGAAGGCCTGACAACTGGGGGTAGGGGGAGTCTGGAGGAGTTGGGCCGCACCAGTATAAGTCCTGGAATCCAAAGGCATGAGAATCAGGAGCTCCAAAGTCTATCCGATTATCTTTTTAGATAATCTGCATCATACTGAAAAGTCTGAAAAGAGCCCTTAAGCAACCACTACTAATTCGTTTTTTCTCTTGAGTAACATTATATGTTCAGATTTTGCCCTCTACCTCAGCGAATTACCCTGCAATCATCTGTAAATTGTTGGGACTTCTTATAATTGTTAATGCACATCTATGCAGGCTGGGCTAGGAGCCGGGGTGGAGAAGGCATCAGGATACTGTATCCAGGCCATGCAGAGAGGGAACACGATCTATTGGTAATGTATAAACCTCTTGGGGCTCTGGAATTTGGAACCAACCACTCAAGGAGATCCTGGAGAATTTCAAAAGTGGAGTTTTTATGGGAAATTTTCAGAGAGTGCATGCGTGTGTACACATGTGCACACGTGCTTGCTTACGTGCCCTTCATTTATAACAGACACTGGGGAAAAGAGGCGAGAGACCTCAGTTACAGCTGACAACTATTTATGTCATTAGATTTTATGTGAGCTTGTTAGACACACAATAAAAACCATCTCAACCACTTATTGTTGAACCTTAGACCAAGGGATAAATGAAGAACAGGGGGACATAATAAAGAAAAATTTCAAAGAGATACAATGGACCTTCATGTTTGCTCTTGATAGAGAACAAAGATAACCTTTCCGCATATCCCAAAGTCTTAGGAAGTAAGTCTTGGGGATCCAGTTCCAAATTATACATAGAAGGTGGCATCCACTTAAGGATTTCCTGCTTATATCTCCTCTCTGAAGCCAGTTGGAGTGGCCCCACTCTGAAAACCAGGATGGTCAAAGATAATTTAGTACCATGACAAAGAAAAGTTTTTTAAACTTTGTACCCTTCAAAGAAAGCAATTTAGAAGTTGTTACCTAGGTACTATGAATTCATTAAATACTGTAATGAAGTCACAATGACGGAAATCAATGCTCAAGCCCTAAACTTCCTTAAAAATTGGCTTAAAAGGGCATCTGCATGGCTCAGTCAGTCAAGCATCTGACTCTTGATCTCAGCTCAAGTCTTAATCTCAGGGTCATGAGTTCGAGCCCTGCACTGGTCTCCACTCTGGACATGGAGCCTACTTAAACAAAACTGACTTAAAAATGCCTGGCCATCTTATCTCCATTTGTCACCAAACTAAGGATAGTTAACTTGTCCCCAGCAATGTGCCAGCAACCTCAGGAACAGAAGAAGTTAGTCTCCACTACTGTTCTTTTCCTAACCATCAACCAGTATTTGTTGAAGGAATGGCCACACACTGTCATGTTGGCTTAGCTTCTACAAGCCCCAGAATATCTGTGGGTTCTGAAAAACCCACTGAAAAGGAAAGAGAACAAAACGCAATGATATCTACTTTACATGTGGGCATTCTAATTTATTGCTATCATGTCATTTAATGATAAGCCTAAACCATCTCATAGAAGATCTGTGCATAGCAGTTCTCCAAGAGTTTGTACACTGGATGAATGAACCCACAGGCTCTGAGTTAGTCGCACAGGGATGTACATCACCCAGGGGTCAGGACACGGATGCTCCCGTATGTTGCTCCAACCCTAATCACGGGTTGTGGATACTTGTTTCTTTGGCCCACCCACTGTCTCTTTTGTCTTCCCCTGGGTAGGGGTTGGGTGGTGATGACCCAACTCTAGCTCCTGCTGTGGGCATGAGACCCAGGTCTGCTGTCTCATCCCAGCATTCTATCCACAGCCACAGAGACTGGTGTGAGGATAGGTATGGGACCTAAGCTGGGCCAACAGAAGCATGCCTGGGACCTCTCCAGGGGCTGTTAGGAAGGAGGAAATCTCTCTGAGGGGTAGATAAGCAGGCAGGACTGAATCCTGGAGCAGCCAGTGACTATCTTTGCCACCATAATGGGAAAACCTGTTTGAGAGTGAAATGAACCCAGGAAAATGAAGAGCCAGAGGAATAAATAGACTGAGGCCCCAAATTATCATCTGAACCCCTGGACCCAGCCTGGAATCCCTATACTTCTTGATTACGTATGTTTAAAAATTCCGTTTTTGGGGACACCTGGGTGGCTCACTTGGTTGAGCGTCCGATTGTTGGTTTTGGCTCAGGTCATGATTTCGTGGTGGTGAAATTGAGCCCTGTGTCCGTCTCAATGGGAGTCTGCTTGAGATTCTCTCTCCCTTTACCCTTCCCATGCTCGTGTGTGCACCCTCTCTCTAAAATGAATAAATCAATCTTAAAAAATTCATTTTTTTGCTTGAACTTTTGAGTTGCATCTTCTATCTTTTGAGGTCAAAAAGTCCTGACCAATAAAAGGGATACCTCTTTTTAAAAAAGATTTTATTTATTTATTCGAGAGAGAGAGAGAAGGGGCGCATGTGCGCAGAAGCAGGGGGTGGCAGGGGAGAAGGAGAAGTAGACTCCCCACTGAGCAGGGAGCCTGACGCAGGGTTTGATCCCAGGACCCTGGGATCATGACCTGGGCCAAAGACAAATGTTTAACTGACTGAGCCACCCAGGCACCCCAATAGAAGGGATTTATAAAGCTGTTGTGCTATTGAAAACATACACATGAGGACTTTTTAAAAGATTCTAGAATTCTCAGTGACAGAACCAAGGTTTGATGCTCCCGCCCCTCTGTTCCGAAATGGGTTTTAGATAACATAATCTCAGCTATGTGTGGCTACTAAATATCCAGGAGCACTGGTTCTGGAGCCCAACAGGCGTGGGTTCAAATCCCTGTTCCACCCACTAGCAAATTACTTACTACTCTGATCTTCATTGTTCTTATCTGGAAAAGAGAAAAGTACCTAAAAGCCAGTTTTTGTGAGGATTGTGACTTTCCTTATCATCACTTGTAATTATTTATGTGATTATTTAATTCCTGTCTATAAGAATCAAGTCGATGTTGCACTATATTTTATTTCTTAAACTAGGGAGTGCCTGGAAATCGGCATGTGCTTTATGAATATTTGTTGAATCAATACACAAATGAGTGAAATGAGGAGACCACAAGATATGTGCTTGGCACATTGCAGATGGGCAACAAATACCGGTTTCCCTTCCTTGAGGACTAGGGCTCACCAACTCCAGTGCCCCCACGGGCCAGGTGGGTAATGAACTTGATGTACATTGGCCAGATGTGGAATCATGTGTGCCCTGTCTGCATGGGGCAGACATGACTCAGCCAGCCAAATGTCGTCACTTAGGAAGGGAGACCTAAGGGACCAGGTCCAGATTTGCTTTTGAGAGAAGACCAGATCTACTCTCAAGGCAAAGTAGAAATGAGAATTTTTAGTTAAAAATTTTAAACATGGGTACAGTTAAAGACACACACATAGAGAGAGGTCAACCAAATATATCCGAGGTCTGGATTTAGCTCTTGGGTGACCGGTTCGTTACAACTGGGACCCATGTCTGGTCTATCCTTCCTATGAGAGCTCAGATCATAGCCAATAATAACCACGAGACAGCGACTATACTTACCGCCAAGCAACTCAGAACTCTGGCTGGGGACGCTGTGAGATGCCTCCTGGAGGACGTAGGTGGAAGTCGAGAGGGGAGAAGGGCAGATGCTGCTGGCCGGGACGTAAGGAGGGCTGTAGGACGAGCTGTAATACTGGGAATACTGGCTCTGGGGGAAGCCAGGATAGGAAGGATAGTCCTAGAAAGGGAAACACACAGGGTTTTTAGTGAAGAAGCCTGTCTGAGCCTTCTGTCTGGCCCAGTCACAGGCTGACAGCGGTGAGGGGCCTCATGGGTGGGTCTCCTGTATCTGTCTCCATCCCTCCCACTAGAACAAAAGCTCCATGAGGGTAGGGACTTGCCCCAGATGCAGACCCCGAGACAAGGAGGCAAGTGCAAGTACTTGGGAGGTGAAAGAGACCCCAGTTGGGGGATGGGGAAGTGCGACAGGAAAGGGAAGAAGTAAAAGCAGCCAGTCTGGGGGCTTTTAAGTGGGGACTGGAGGGAAGTCCCCTGGGAAACACTGGGATGGTATAAAACATCCTCAGGACGATCTTTCCCAGGGGCAAGGGAGCTGGGACGTCCATCCACCATCTCCAGCTAGGCTTTGTTTGAGAGCTGCTCTCAGCGGTCTTCATTCCCTGGCCCTTCCCTCTTGCCCCGTGCTCTGGTCCTAGGGAATCCCCAGCAGGTGCACCCTGAAGGATGTGGGTGTGGCTCTGTTGGTGTCTGCCTTGACTGCTGTTATATCCCTAGCATCTGGAACAGTGCCATGCAGGGAGGGGAACTCAATAAATACTAGTTAAATCAATGAACCAATGAATGAGTTATAAGGACCACATACACACATACCCAGGAGACTGGGTGACATTTTAAGTTCACGGGAGGTACAAATACAGCAACACCTATACAGCATTAGGGATCCAGAATCTTCTATGAGGAAATCTCAGAGATCAAATCAAAGAATGCCAATCCCCTTTTGACCAAGTTTTGCTTAACCCAGCCTGATATTCCAAGTCTCCCACTGTAGTCATTGTTTCAAATATTCTTTTTTTTACTTATTCTTTTTATTTATTAACATATAATGTATTTGCCCCAGGGGTGCAGGTCTGTGAATCACCAGGTTTACACACTTCACAGCACTCACCATATCACATACCCTCCCCAACCTCCATCACCCAACTCACCCTATCCCTACTTCCTCTTCCTCCAGCAACCCTCAGTTTGTTTCATGAGATTAAGAGTCTTTACGGTTTGTCTCCCTCCTGATCCCATCTTGTTTCATTTTTTCTCTCCCCTCCCCCCACGACCCCCAGCCCTACCTCTCCAATATTCTGCCCCACCACCACCATAAACCAATGCTTCTCAAGCCCTGTGAAAACTCATGGGAAGTTCAGCTTCCTGGACCCCCACCCCAGCTCTACAAAATTGGAATTTCTGGAGGTGGCATTTAGGGAATCTGCTTTTGACAAGCTCCTCTTGGTGAAATGAGCAGACACCCAGAGTGAAGAACCACACATTAAAAAGGACTGTTGTATTCATGAGTATTTTATCCATGTACATAGTATACTCGGAATAATACAGAAATACAGAGACTATCTCCCAGTCTTCCAAGGTTTAAATCATTTAGATTCTTTAGCTCACTGAAGAAGATGTAGTGCATTCCTCCTATTTAAGCGTTAAATATTCCATAAAGCCCACCTACTCTGTGGTAATTTTGTTTTAATGCCAGCCTGAAAGCATGTTTGAAATAACTGTTTTGAAATAGTTTTGTTTTGAAATAATTTTAGACTTAATAGAAGAGATGCACAAATAGGACAGAGTTCCCCCTCTCATTCTTAATTTACTAAGTGGAAAACAAGACAAACTATTGGCCAGTGTTCATCTTTACAGGGTTGACCTGGTGTGATTGAACAAGCATTTATAAAACCCCTACTGTGTGCTGGGCACTTGGCCCTAGAACGCAGAGGTGAAGATGATGGAGCCTCACGCTTGAGAAGGTCAAAAGAGCACGAGCATTTGCATTTCATACATGCTAGATTCAACAGTCATGGGCATTTCAGGGTCAGGCAAGATGTTATATATAATATCGCTTGTGTCATCTTGGAAACCCGCTAGTAATTCCAATTTCTCTATCTCTACCCTGTATCTTTCTGATGCTCTTTTTGTGCACAATCTGACTCCTGTGGTCACTAAATCCAGGGCATCAGAGACTGCATTTCTGGTGGGGTTGTGGGTGGGAGTGGACTCTCGGGGTGCCCTTATTTAAGGGGGCTATTTAAGGAAACAGAATACAAGCGGTGGGGAGCGACGTCTACCTGGTGCACACTTCCGAATCCAGCTGCATTGGTCAGGCCATTTGCTCCTTGGTAGATCCCCGCCGTGCCTGCAGGAAGAAGGAATGGGTACAGATGAGGCTTCTTACAGTCAGAGAGGGACGTGGAGGAGAAAGATGCGGCAGACAGGTGGGCTCTTTGAGGGCTGACAACCTGGGATGGAACCTGTGACCTTGGCAGGTTACCAAACCTCTCTGCTGCTCAGTTCTGTCAGTTCATGAATTAAAATAAGTAACTCTGCCATCAAAGGGTTGTGGTGAGCAATAAATGAGATCGTGTATGCAATAAAGATTCTGGTTCTCAAGAGTTATGTTTCAAAAATATTTATTTAAAAATTGTGGGAAGCCAGGACGCCTGGGTGGCTCAGTCGGTTAAGTGTCCGCCTTTGGCTCAGGTCATGATCCTAGAGCCCTGGGATCGAGCCCCGCATTGGGCTCCCTGCTCAGCTGGGAGTCCGCTTGTCCCTCTCTGCTCTGCTCATGCTGTCTCTCTCTTAAATAAATAAATAACATCTTTAAAATAATTGTGGTAAGCATCCATGACATAAAACTTAACTGTTTTAACTATTTCTAACCACACAGTTGAGTGACATTCGGTACATTTGTGTTGTTGTGTGACCGTCTCCACCTTCCATACCCAGAATTCTTTTCATCTTGCAAAACTGTGTTGTGTCCCCATTAAATAATAACTCCCCATTCCTCCCCTCCCCCTGCCCCAGGCCTCTACCATTCTACTTTCTCTACGAATGTGACTATTCTAGGAGCTGCACATAAGCGGAATCACATAGTACTTGTCCTCTTGTGATTGGCTTATTTCATTTAGCATCACGTCTTCGAGTTTTGTCCACATTGCAGCAGGTGCCAGCATAACATTCCATTGTACCATACACTACATTTAAAAAAAGTGGTTTTTTTTATTTTTTAAAGATTTTATGTATTCATTTGCCAGAGAGAGAGTTCACAAGTAGGCAGACAGGTAGGCAGAGAGAGAGGAGGAAGCAGGCTCCCCGCTGAGCAGAGAGCCTGATGTGGGGCTCGATCCCAGGACCGACATCATGACCTGGGCAGAGGACACTTGGATTGCCTCCATTTCTTGGCTATCCCCAATAATACTATTATTAAAAAAAAAAAAGATTTTATTTATTTATTCGACAGAGAGAGGCGGGAAAAGCAGGGGAAGTGGTGCAGGGAGCCCGACGTGGGGCTCGATCCCAGGACCCTGGGATCATGACCTGAGCCGAAGGCAGATGTTTAACCCACTGAGCCACCCAGGAGCCCCATAGTTAGAACCATATACCACATTTTGTTTATCCATTCGTCTGTCAATGGACACTTGGATTGCTTCCATTTTTTGGCTATCATGAATAATGCTGTTATGAATATGGGGATACAAATGGCTTTTTTAGACCCTTCTTTCAAGTCTTTTGGGTAGATACCCAGAAGTAGAATTACTGGATATGATCATTTGCTTTTTCAATTTTTTGAGGAACCACTTACTGTTGTTTCCAGCATTCTATCATTTTACATTCCCACCAACAGTGCACAGGGATCCAAATTCTCCACATCCTTGTCAACTCTTCCTCCCTTCCTTTTCTTTCTTTTTTTGATAGTAACCATTCTAAGGGGTATAGGTGGTAACTGAGTAAACTGGATAAAGGCACAAAAGGACTTTTGCCCTCTGAGCCTCAGTTGCCCCATCTGTAAAATGGGAATAAAAATGACACTTCTACTATTAGTACAAGAAAATGCGATTTACTGAATGAATGAGTGAATGGTGCGTGGGGTGTCACTGAAGACTGGGTGGTCAGGCAAGGCCTCTCTGAGGTGACACTGGAGTGGACACGTGCCAGCGATGGACACAGCCTGGGAAAGGAGTGTTCACGCACGCTGAGGGCACAGATCCTAAGCAAGGATTCGCTTGGCAAGTGAGAAAGGCAAGGCCAATGAGGCAGGAGCCCAGGGAGGGAAGAGGGCAGTTGCAGGAAGAGCCATGGTGAACTTGTGTGTTTCAGGTGTCGTTCTGAGCTCTTCCTGGACAAACTGAGGCCCAGAAAAGTTAAGGGACGTACCGAAGGGAGCACAGAGAGTAAGTGACAGCTGCTGGGGCGGGAACCGGGCAGTCTGACTTGAGTTTTCAACACCCCTCTGTGCTGCTGTTGCTGCTGCTTTATAAACTGTTCTTTTGGGGGTTATAACTTATATACTATACAATTCCTCCACTGGGGTCAGTTGGATGATTTTTAGAGTAAATCCGTATAATTGTGCGCCCGTTACCACAGTGCGGTTTCAGAACATTTCCATCTCCCCCAAAGTTCCCTTGTGCCTCTCTGCAGTCATCCCCTACCCCCGCCCCCAGCATCAGGCAGCTAAGCCACTGCTGATTCTGGAGTTTCACCTTTTCTAGAAATTTCATAGAAGTGGGATCAGAAGAGATGTACTTGTTTCTGGCCTCCTCCTTCCGCATAAGGCTACAGAAGCCCATCCATGGACCAGAAGTTCATTGCTTCTCATTGCTGAATTGTACTGAGTGTGGGGATGCACCGCATCCAAGTTGGGGCTATTCCAGATAAAGAGGCTCTAACCATTTCATATGAGTCCTTGTGTGCATATATGTTTTCATTCCCCTTGGGCACATCCCAGGGAGTAGGAGCATGAAATCATGTGGCAAGAGTATGTTTTCCTTTTTAAAAACACAGTTAAAGTGTCTTCTGAGTGGCTGTACCACTTCACGAACCTACTAGCAGTGTATGAGACTTCTGTTTTTTTCAGCACTTGGTATTTTTGGTCTTTTTGATCATAGCCATTCCAAATCATAGCCATACCATGCAGTGGTATTTCTGTGTGGTTTTAGGTAGTGTTTGTCCGACGATTAACCATGTCAGGCATCTTTTCATGTGCTTATTAGCCATTCATGTATCTTTTTAGATGAAGATCTATTCAAATCTTTTGCCCATTAAAAAAAAAAAAAGGTATGTCCTCTTAAAATTTTGTTGTAAGAATTTCTTATATATGCAGGACACAAGTCCTTTATCAGATACACAGTGTGTAAATATTACCTCCAAGTCTGTAGCTTGTTCTTTCATTTTCTTTATGGTGTCTTTTGAAGAGCAGAAGCTCTTTTTTTTTTTTAAATCAATATCCTCCTTATGGATTCTGCCTTTACTGATTAATCCAAGGTGAGATTCTTTCCTATGTTTTCTTCTAGAAATTTTACAGTTCTAGCTCTATGATCTAATGTAAGTTAATTCTGTGTGTGTGGTGTGAGGTGGGGGTCTAAATGAATCTTTTGCATATGGATATCTGGTTGTTCCAGCACCACTGTAAAAAAGTTTATCCTTTTCCTCACTGAATTACTTGACACCTTTGCCAAAAATTAATTGACAGTTAATGTGAGGGTTTATTTCTGGACTCTGTTCCACCCATGTATCTAGCCTATACCAATTCCATCCCGACCTGGTTACTGCAGTTTTATAGTAAGTTCTAAAATCAGATAGCATAAGTTCTCCATTTGTTCTTCTTTTTCTTTCTTTTTTTTTTTTCAAAGATTTTATTTGTTTATTTGACAGAGATCACAAGCAGGCAGAGAGGCAGGCAGAGAGAGGGGGGGAGGCAGGCTCCCCGCTGAGCAGAGAGCCCGATGCGGTGCTCGATCCCAGGACCCCGGGATCACGACCTGAGCTGAAGGCAGAGGCTTAACCCACTGAGCCACCCAGACACCCCTTGTTCTTCTTTTTCAAGATTGTTTTGGCTTCTATGTGTAAACTTAGCATTTACATTATCAACTTTAGAATGAGCTTGATTTTTGTTGGCCAGAAGGAAGTGACACATTTCTCAACCCAGAATCCTACATCCAGAGAAAATATCCTTCAGGGGAAAAGGGAAAATCAAGACATTCCTAAATGAAGGAAAACCAAGAAAATCTGTCACAGCAGACATACTCTGAGAAGGTGAGTACAGGAAGTTCTTGGAACAGGCAGGAAAATTTTTTTTAAAGAATTTATTTACTTATTTGGCAGACAAAGATCACAAGTAGGCAGAGAGGCAGGCAGAAAGAGAGGGGGAAGCAGGCTCCCTGCTGAGCATAGAGTCCTATGTGGGGCTCGATCCCAGGACCCTGAGGACTCAATCTCAGGACCCTGAGATCAAGACCTGAGCCAAGGCAGAGGCTTTAACCCACTGAGCCACCCAGGCGCCCCCAGGCAGAAAATTTTAAAAAGGACTCTTGGAACATCAGGAGGGAGAAAGAAAAAAGAAAAAAGTAAAAATAAGGGTAAATTAAGTCTCCTTTCTGTATGGCTATGCCAAACAACTCAATATGCAGTTAGGTCTATAAACGTTTGCTATCAAATTTTAGGAGTTTTCAAATGTGTTTTGTAATTACCTAAAATATTGAAATGGCTCCAAAGTGAAATCTGCAAAATAAACTCTTCCCATACCCAGGGGTGAGAAGGATTCTGTGCTGGACCCCGGGACGGGTTCCGTAATGCCTGCCAGGGAGTGGAGGGGCCAGGGAAGCTTTCCCGGGAGAAGGGACACCTACACTAATCTCTGAAGGATGAGTTAGCATCAGCCAGGTGAAGAGAGGAAGGACCAGGAACATGGCCACACCTCGGCGTGTCCATGACACCTGGTCCAAGGACCAGAACCCACAGAATTTGTCCACAATAGTGTGGCACGCTGAGATCCCTTTCTGTCCTCAGTGGCCTGTTCAGACTCATCCACAGAAGGTCTAGGCCAGTCTATTCCATTCTAAATCATTTTTGGGGTCACGGTTACCATGGTGACCCCACCTGCTAAAGCTTAGAAACACACTGCCCTAGGAAGAGCCTTGGCCGCAGAGTTTCCTGTTCTGATTTCTCTTTTCTTTTGCGTCCATCTTCTGAATGACAACATTGAGCAGGTTTGAAAACAAACAGGCCACAGTCTGGCCCCTTGGTATTCTTTCCCCCAAACAGCCTCTTGTTTGTTTGCAACCACAAACAAACTGTGGTGTGCGGAGGGCATTCCCAGAGCCCCTGCAGGGGGAGACAGCCATCCCCTGCCTGAAGACC